CCGCCGCGCCCGCGCCCGGGACCCTGGCCAAGGAGGCCGCCGCCTCCAACACCAACACGCTCAACAGGAAAACCACGCCCGTGTAGGGCGCGGGCGCGGGGCGCGTGTGGGGCGCGTGCGCGGGCGCGCGTGCAAAGGGGCCGTCGGGCCAGGGCGCGCCCTTCCTTCCCCCTGCGCGCCCAGTGCTCCCCATGCGCCCAGCAGACTGCGTGGCCTTCGCCCGGCGCGCGCCCTCCGCCGGGGGACGCCGGGGCCGACCTTCCCTTCCCCCTCCGAAGGAGGTTCCCCGGGGAGGGGAAGGTAAAGGAGAGGGGGCTCTGGAAAGCGACGTATTTTATTTTTTTGGTGGGATTCATGGGGAGGGGGGAGGGCCGTGGTGTTTTTTGCAGTTTTGAGATTTTTTTTAATGTTTTGCTGTGTGCATGTGTGGGCGGGGCGGGAGGAGGGGAGGGAGGGACTCCAGCCCAGCCCAACTCCTGGAGAGGGGCCGTAACACCGAACCTAGAGTCACTCCTACAACTATCTATTCACCCTCCATCCAGAGACACAGCTCGCCGCTAGGGGTGTAGGAGGCGGGGCCCAGGCGGCCGCGCGCATGCGCTCAGTCTCCACTAGTCTCCACAAGGGCTTCCTCAGCACCTGCTGTGTGTCAGGTGCTGGTACTAAGACAGCGCTGGCAGGGACAGGGGTTCATTCATTCACTGCGACCGCTCCATTGTGTGCTTCGCTGCGGGGCATCCTGCGGAATGCTGGTCACGCGAAGGGAGGAAATAGGATCCCTGACGTCCTCGTGGAGTTTACATCTTGTGCATGAGCCAGACTTTAGTGAGAGTCCTGCAGATACAGCCAGTTAGGACAGAGGAGAGATCAGAGGTGCTGCATGATGTTCGAGGGCCTGGTGGCGCGGTTCGAAAGGAACGGTTTTAGCAGGGCGGGGGGGGGTGGGTGGGCCAGGTGTCCCCTTAGAGAACGGGGTGTGTCAAGGCCCTTGGGCAGGAAGGAGCTTCCCAGTGTGCTGGAGTGGGTGGGGAAACAGGCAGAGCCAGACAGGGCAGGGTCCTGTAGGTTGAAGAATGGCTTGAAGCAGGAGCTGGGCAGGAACGTGCAGAGTGAAGACAAACGAGCGTCTAGCGCGCAGAAATGCGTCGCTGCACAGACCCGGAGCGCAGCCGTGGGGTCCGGTGGGTGGGAGTGATCGCGAGCGATCCACGTTCCAGTCAGTGGTTCAACCACTCCCTCTCTGACCTCCGCGGGCGTCTGCTAACGTGCCACATACTGGGTCAGGCCAGGCCGGCCCTGAGACGCACACAAGAACCCCGCCAGTGCTGTCAAGGAGCGTTGCGTTGTCCAAACAGCAGCGCAGGCAGTGTGTGTGTGGGGGGGGCACATAGTTGGTGCTGTAGTGGCCACGTGAGCACCAAGGACCACAGAGGACAGCGCCCACCTCCTGGAGAATGTGGTGCTCAATCTGTGTGTCAAAAGGAGCAGGTTCTGCAAAGAGATGAGGAAGGCTTGGGGACAGCTCAGGGAGGCCAAAGCCCGGTTCGAGTGGGAGAGAGGGAAGAACGTGTTTGAGGGTCACTCTGGTGGCAGGTGGATGCTCCCTCCTGAGGCTCCCCCTTGCCACTTGCAATACTCTCTGTCCACTGGCCCTTCCCATCCCCAAGGAAAGCAGCCTGCTCAGAACCCGCGTGGTGCAGGCTGTTGAGGGGCTTAGGTTTGGCTATGAGCTCTGTAGCAACGGGCTGGAGGAGAGGGAAGATCCTGGGTCTTGGGGCGAGGGGGAGTAACGGGTCAGGAAGGTGGTACAGGCTGGCAAAATGAGGTGTGCCAGGGCTTGGGTGAAAGGACAAGCCTGGAAGGAGGAGAAGGCACGCTGGGGGAGGGGCAGAGAGCTGCCGGAAGTGGGCAGAAGGCAGAGCCCCAGCACAGTGGTTGGCGGGGCAGGAAGCAGGAGAGAGCCCCACACAAAGATGCTCAAGTCAGAGCACAGGCCTTGCCAAGATTAAACAGACCACAAACCTCATGCCAAGCTGCGGAGAGAAACCACAGTGACGAAGGATGCCACAGAGGCGAGAGATACACCCAGGACTGGGAAGCAAGTGTGGGAGAGGAAGGGTCTGTGTCTTGTCCGTGCTGTCAGCATTCCAGGCTTGCGGAGTGCCAGCCAGCCCTGCCCTCTTGGGACCCCTGAGGGAGACAGAAGGTAGTAACGCTGTGTCAGTGAAGCACAGCAGGGCGGCAGTCAGTGAGCTGCTCTTGAAGTTCAGGACAGAGACGGATCCATGGGGGACCGTCCTGGCCACAGAGGTGGCAGAGAAAGCGGGGAGGAGCAGGTGCTGGAGCAGGCCTCACTGAGCAGGCTGGGCCTGAGCCACGGGGCTGCGCTGGCCCACAGCCTGAGGAAGGAGTGTGAGTTCTATTCTGGGTGTGATGGGGAAGCCTTGGAGCGTACTGGACTCCGTGATGTCAGGGTCACACAGGTACTTAAACACAACAGTACCAGGCTCACTGCTGTGCCAGGGGTAGATTTCAGGAGTCCAGAGAAGCAACAGGTATTGGGAGCCTGGAGAGTGCGAGGTTACGGTTATGGTGGTGGTAGGATGGATGTAATGGGGCAATGAGACCCCAGGGGAGGGAGAGGGAAACCAAGGTGGGTGTGCAGACCTGCTGGGTGCTGCTGTGTCTCTCCAGGAGGGAGAAGTGGGACCTCTGGGCAGAGGGACCAAGGGTTCTTTCTCTTTTGGATCCAGCAAGTGGGAGATGCCTGTGGGACATCCAAGATCAGGTATCAGGTGGCGAAGGCACACAGAGCCCAGGGGTGGTGAGGTCATGGCTGTAAATGTAAGTTTTGGAAACGTCATTTAAAGCCACAGAGTGGGACAGAGTAACTGAGAATGCGGGCGGAGAAGTGACTCTGGCTGAAGCCAGGGAGACATCTGCATGAGGGAACTGAGAATAGGGCAAAAGGAACCATGAGGGGGTGACCAGTAGGTAGGCAGGATAAGGAGTGCCCCTGAAGGGGATGAGAGATGGAAGTGTGGTGCCCCGGTGGGACAGGATCTGGGCCAGAGGCCTTGGTGGCTCCGGGCTGGGGATGCAGATGTGCAAAGCAGAATGGGAAGGAGAGAGGCAGAAGAGAACAAAGGGGAGGCTGGAGAGGAAGGGTGGCGCCCAGGCGAGGAGCTAAAGATGAGGGATTGCATCCTGACCTGGGCGAGCTCTGGCACAGGCAGATGGAGGCAGGTGGGAAAGTTCCAGGGCCGGGAGAAGAGGTTCTGCAGGATCAGGGCTCTAGGGTTGGCTGCTGCAGCCCTGAAAAGGCCCTGGCTGGACAGGAAAGGACGGACAGGACAGACGAGGAGGATTCACAAGTGTCGGGCCTCGTAATCTGAGAGCATGCCCCTCCCTGTCCCTGCTCATGGGGCACAGCACAGGGAGGGGACTCCCTGGGGCACGCAGGCTGCCAGGAAATGCAGCGGGTGCCTTCTTGGCTTGGAAGGTGTGTTTTGTCTCCTCACCTGGCTGCTCATTCATCCACTCACTCATTCACTCCCGTGTATCATCCCATGCATTTTCTAAGGTTGCCTGTGTACCCAGCCTTGAGCTGGGGCATGTCCAGGCTGCCTATAGGACTTCCTCCTGCCCCTGAGCCCCGCTCGTCTGGCGGGACAGCCAGGCGCATAAGCAGACAGTCACATCCAGAACACACATGTGCTCCAAGGCAGAGCAGGTGAGGACGTGAGGCATCCCGGAAAGGTCAGGCACAGCCCACCTGGAGCGGGCTGGGGCAGAGGTGGAGTGGGCAGGAGGTGGTCCCATCTGGGTGCACACAAGGGCTGGGGTGGGTGGAGCAGGCCCTGCCCCTGAGGGAGCTGACACTGCATGGAAGGTCCCCGGGGGGCGTACCACCTAATAAACTTGATGGAGAGGAGTACTGCTCTGGTTCACGAGTCTCCATAAAAGCTCACGTTGCTGAGTCCTGGCCTTCCTAGCTCCTAGGGCCAAGGGCGGGGCACACAAGCCATCCTTCTATGACCCACACCCAGCCCAGTGTGCCCCATTCCGGAGGCCAGGAGATGATCTCAGCCCTCTTCCAGGGGATGGGGCTAGCACCTAACTTGGACCAGGGCCGGGCCTGGCCTACCCTCTTGGTCCCTGGGCACAGGCCTAAGGCCCCCTCCAGCTCCCACCCATGCCAGGCAGTGACCCAGGCCCATCCTGCCCTGGCTCTGCCACCTCAGGGCTCCTGGAGGCCGGACTTCAAGTCTGCCCTTGGGCCTTGGGGACCCAAAAGTCTCCTGCCTCGGCCCCCTAGAGACCCTTCCCCGCCCCTCCTCCCGCTGGTCTCTACCCCTCCCTCCTGTCCCCTTAAAATACCCAGGGTCCCTATGGCAACAGGCACAGGCGACAGGTGCGGTGTTATTTACGGGTTGTTCCCAAAATAGCCCTGTCGGGGGTGGCGACGAGGCTGGTCCCCGCGCAGTCTGAGGTCCTGGTCGCGAAGCCGGGGACGCCGAGGAAGAGCGCGGGGCCCCGCCACGGACCCGCGTGGGCGGCCTGGAGCGAGCGTGGAGCCGGTGGCCCAGGCAGCCTGGGGAGGGGGCGCGCGGTCACCAAGGGAGCCAGAGCCCCGGCCATACCCCAGCGGCGCCCAGCAATCAGGACGCCGTGTCCAAGCCTTCTGATCACAGCCTTGTGGGGAGCCCGGGCTCCCCTCCTTGCCCCGGCCAATCCCAGCCTTTTCTTCAGAAGCCACCTGTCGCAGCCTCCCCTGAATGGTAGGCTCTCAAGCCTCGCCTCAGCTCCTGTTCCCCTGAACCCCAGCCTCTGCTCTGCGAGACTCTACAGGCCTCTTTTAGGCACCCCAGTTTCCCTTCTGCACCCGCAGTGCTGAATCCTTCATCCTCAGACTCAGAGCCCGGAGGAACCCAACCGAATCTCCAAAGACGGAGACCTCAGCCCTGTGCCCTCGGGGAGGCAGCATCGGAGGGCCTGGTTTTCCCTCTGGGGTTCTTGTGGGCACCCCAGGGGCGCCTCTGAACCTCTGTGGTTTCCTCAGCCCGGTAGCCTAGTTTGGCCCCTCCCAAGCTCAGGCCGACCTCGACTGGCCCGTCTGAAGTGCAGAGTGCCTGTCTCCTCCAGCGTGCACCTGCCCCTCCACCCCTCAAGCCCCTGCCACCCAGACCTCCCCAAGCTGCTCCTGGAGCTGGAGCTCGAGCCCGGGCCCCTCTGGGATGATGATGATGTGGTCCAACTTCTTCATGCAAGAAGAGGACCGGCGGCGGGCGGCCCGGGGCAGGAGGCGCGCGCAGGGCCAGGAGATGAGGGGCCTGAGCCCCGAGCGTGAGGGCAAGACCAAGCTGGCGCTGCTGCTGGCCGCCGTGGGAGCCACGCTGTCTGTGCTTGCGGTGGGCACCGAGTTCTGGGTGGAGCTCAACACCTACAAGGCCAACGGTAGCGCTGTCTGCGATGCCGCGTACCTGGGGCTGTGGAAGTTGTGCACCAAGCGGCTGTGGCAGGCGGACGTGCCCACGGACAGGGACACCTGCGGCCCCGCCGAGCTGCCTGGAGGTCAGAGCCGCTGCCCCGGGCTGTGGCCCGTGGGGGTGGGGCTAGGGTGGGGGTGGAGTAGGAGTGGGGGTAGGGTGGGGGTGGGGGTGGGGATGGAGGGGCTGAGGAAAACTGCCCAGAAGGAGTCAGGGCCCCAGAGGAAACCTAGGCCCCAAGGATTGCCCTGCCTGGGTGGGTCCTTCACCCACTGTGGCCTGTACAGACAGATCCCTCAGGTGCCACCTCTGTCCTGAGAGCTATAGCCTGTGCCCCAGATGCTGCCCTGCCCACCCTACATGCAGAGCATGGCCACCCAGGGGACAACCCATATCCAACCTCAAAGCCCCCACCAAAGGCAGTATCTGGGTCACCGCTCCCTCTGTGGGACATCTGTGGCATCCTGTGTACCCCCAGGACTCAGGGACACACTATTCACTTCCTGTCCATCTCACCTCTCCCATTCTCCAGAGCCACCCTGAGCCCTCCCTCTCTGTCTGAGGCAGTGGTATGCCCCCCTGTGCTAGAGGGCTGCCCCATCCTCAGTGCGGGAGAAGCCAGGCCATCCCCTTCGCTCCCACAGTGGGATGCCATGGGACATGCATGCAGGCCTCGCCTCAGCTCCCGTGGGTGCTGGATGGCACCCCTCTTGATCCAAGGCACACTCAGGGCACCCTTCAGAGTCCCTCTGGAATGGTCACTCTGCTTTCTGGAGGCCCTGCAATCACAGTACCCTTCACAGGGCATCTCCCAGGCTCTGGCCTCTTCCCTGCCCCTGGCTTCTCAGTGTAGTATTTTGTAGCTGTAGGGTCCAAAGCAGCTGTCCTCAGAGCATGACAGCAAAGCAGGCACAGGATGCAGCACCCGCAACGTGTTAATTGTGTTCAGCCAGATCGCTGTCCTCACTCCTTTGCTTTGCTGTCCTAGCTCTCTGCCTCAGGCAGGGTGACCCCAAGTTTGGCTCAGTGAGATGCTCTGAGGATGAAGAGAGATGTTGAGACAGAGCCTGGTGCCGCTCCAGGCACTGAGCATGGACTCATCCACAATTACCGTAGCCAGAGCAGCCCCTGAGAGGTTCACCTCCTCCCCCACAGCTGCAAAAGAGCAGGGTGCCAGAAACCAGGGGCTCCGTCTCGCCCCGGGCTGCTTATCTGGGACGCGAGCTGGGGGTCCCTGTTCCTCAGCACAGCATTAAGAGGCACTTCATTCATCTGAGAAACAGTCCAAGTCCTCGGTGTGTTCATGGGGATCCTGCCTCCTGCCTCACTACAGATGGGGGTGTCCTTCATATTTGGAATGTACCCTCACTGGCCACCAAGGACAGGGTCAGCTGGATTGTCCTGCGACCCTGCCCCGCACAGCGCAGCTCTACCACATTACCTCAGAAACAGCCCACACATGGAAATCAAAGCTGGCTCCAGTTTCCTTGAGCTGCAGGGCTGACTCACGCTGGCTCTCCGAACGGTGACACCTCATCCTCCGGGGCCAAGAGACTCGAGGTCCCTCAGTCACCAATAGCCAGGGAGGGATGCCTAGTATAGCATGCTGTCCTGGAAGAGTCCCCCCACTTCCCGTGGTGCAGACTGGGTTTCCCAGTGGCCGCAGCACAGCGAATTGCATGCCTTCGCCTCACCCCCTCCAGGCTGCGTGGCATCTGAGCTCCTGCAACCTGTTTGTCCATCTCCCTTCCCCTCTTTAGGCCTTGGTCTCCCCACCTGTGGAGTAGGAGCATGGGTCACACCACTCAGAGAAGTTCTGGCTCCAAAATGTAGTTTAGAAAGTTGCCGCTCTTGAAGTAGAAGGTTGCCTGGATGTAATGCACACAAAGCTTGATGTGTTGTGGTTCTCCATTTATGTCACAGAAGCCAATCTTTGTTTTGAGACAGGGTCTTGCCATGTAGTTCCAGCTGACCTTGGACTCACTGTGCAGTCAGCCCGGGCTGGACCCCAACTCACAGTGCTCCTTCTGCCTCAGCCTCCTGAGGGCTGGGATCACAGGGGTGTGCCCCAGCACCTGGCTCCCGACTGCACTCTCTCGTGTGTTTGACACACATGTATAGTGTCAATTATTCAATCCCTGGTTCTGCAAAAA